TTATAGGGGGTTCCCAGAGGCACAGTGAGTAACCCTTACTTACTGCTCTTCATTTGCATCCACCCATAAGCCAATCACATCTACTAATGTCATTAACTTTGAGGATGTGAACACTCCTCCTAGCAAAAGATCAACTCTTTGCTTTTTCACCCCTAATTACAACTCTTTGTTTCTTAGCCCCTGAGCAGGGGCAGACAGTGTCTGCTGGAGTTTGGAGCTGAATCAAAGCAGCTGAAGTACGTGGAAATTTGGGAAGATCAGCATTTGGCACTGCACTGAGGATGGAAATTTGAATTTGAATTATCCTCAGCCTTCGTTGAAGATACATTTAATTGCGTGCTCCCCTGAGTCTCCCAGTAGACTGGTGCACCTCCCCCACAGTCTACTGTGATGGGAATGTATTCCAGCAGCTCCCAATACCAGTTAAAGCCAGGCCTTTAAAGCAGTATCAGGGTGCTTAATTACCCAGCTGACTGCAGGGGCAGGATCGGTCTTGGCTATCTTCAGCCATCTCTGAGGCCAGGGAGCTGCGTAGGCTCCCTCTCTAGTCAGTGGAGGAAGATAAGCATCTGCATAGAGTAATCCATCCCACCTCTCTCTCTTTCTCTCTCTCTCAATCTCTCTCTCTCCATTAACTGAAGAGGAGTTCAGATAAGTAGTTCAGATCAGATACATTACTTCTGAATAGCTGGAGCTCGACAAGATGTATTCCACCCTCAGCATCCAAAACACTTACATATGTAGTTTCTCATTACTGATCACAGTTTAAACACCTGTTACTCATTGATTTAGAAAGAGATTTTCCTTCCTGCAATTCCCTTTTCTTTGTGCAAAACTCTCATTATTCAGTTTTTGCACCCTATCACTCATGAATATAAGTGACAAGACACTTCTTGCACGCACACACCCACAAGTGCACCTGCAGACCAGTAGCTGTGTGCACCCTGAGTCCCCCTGAGCAGTGGTGTAAAAGCCCCCATTGGTGCAAAGGAGATTGAGCAGGGACTCCTTTTCAATTCAGTTCTCCAAGGGCCCCAAATCACTGTGCTCTACTTCCAGCCATTTGGGTTTCACTTGCTCCAAATCATTTCGGAAGAGCAGCTAAGAGGCCAGCATTGCTTTTGTGAAGCGATGCTGTTTGGGGACCAAACGCGCATAACCATCCTGCCAGCGGCTGTCCCCGTGACGTGTTCCCTGGAGCACAGACACACGATGCCACCTTTCCCACTCCCAGCTCGCAGCCACCTCAGCAATGCCGTAATGTAATCCAGCCTCCAGTCATTTCCCAAGCAGGTCCGATTCCCTTCTCCCCGCAGGGGTGTGGAGGAAGGCACGTCCTGGGCCGTGGCGTCTCCACAGTGCTGCGCGCTCTCAGCATGGTGGTACCTCGTACCGCCGCATGCCTCGCATGCCGAAACGCGCAGCGCCCATGCTCTGGGTAACAGCCGTGTGAGTCAAAAGGGGCTGGTTATGAGTTTGGATACTACCATTTAGAGATAAGCTTCTCCATGGTTACCGCTCTCACGCAAGGTCACTTTCCTGCCAAACCTCCTCTCCTCCCTCCCTGGCTCTCTCTCCTTCCAGTCCAATATTCCACCCACCCCCCCCCAAACGTGCTACATCAAAAGAGAAAATGAAAACATTTACGATAATCATAGTCTGACTATTTTAATGCAGGCTGTAGGAAAGGAAACATGTAAGCCAAGTGCTCTTACTGTGCAAGCAGAAACACACTCTCGACCTCATAAAAGTAGTATCCGAGAAATAACACTTGATTAAAGCAGCCAGTCCTTCATTTAAGTAGGTGCTTATGGTAGGGAAAATAGCCAAGGTTTCTCTAGAACAGGCTGCTGGCCTATCACGAAAAGCAGGAACAGACCAGACAGATGAATTATTGCGAGACAGCTGGGTTTCAGCCGGGGTGCGAGGAGATCCCTATTATCCCATCCACCTTTTCTACACAAATGCCTCTCCCCAGAGAAACTGAGTCATTAAAAGCCAGCTCGTTCACTCCTGACAGGCAATATGCATTGAGTGAGAGGTGATACATTCTCATTTTCAGCAAGAAATCTTAGTCACCCCAAGGAGCAGCTCGCTTAAGAGAGTGGTAATGGAATACAGGGCCTTTCATCTCCGCCTTGCCGCCGCAAGCACAGCCTGAATCGGTAACAATCTAAAAGTTATTAGTTAATGGCTTGTTTCAGTGACCTCCATGAAATGTGTTTGGTGGGTTTGGTCTGGTTTTCAGTAGACAATAACTAGAACTACAACAGAAACCATATTAATGAGTTAAGTCCCTGGCAGGTAAGCACTGAGGGATTTGCCCAGGCATAGTCATGCCATTACTTTCTCTAACCTTTGGGGCCATGGAGCACAAGAGAAGCTCTGCAGATGGCCAGTCTGCTTTATCAAGACAGGGATCCCCAACTCCCAAAATCCCCATTTTGTCCTCAATTGCATAAGCAATGCGTCTTAAAAATAAACAACAACAAAAAAACCCCCAACATTTTAATAACCATTTTACATTCTTTAGGAGTTCAATAGTATCTAGTAGGCACCACTTTGAGCTGAAAATACCACAAACTTGAACAACACAAGAGTTTTACAAAGATGGGGCCCAACAGTCCAGGCCTGCTGACATGTACTGACTTTTGAGTGCACCATTTTGCAACAATAAAATTCCTTTTTTTAAGTAATTCCTCATTTTAATACATTTAGCAAGTGCAGATCAAGGCTACATCTCTCACAGAAAACAAGTCACAGCCACCCCTCTTTACTTTCTTCCCGCAGTCCCAAGTCAGAACTACCTCTGGGAAAGTGATGGCCTATGGAGTCCAGAAAAATCCACCATTAGAAAAGTTTACTCCCAAATAAAATGCAAAATTTACTCTGAAGTGAGAGTGGCTGGAATCCTTACACACACACATCCCCATAATACCTTAGCAATAATTTGTGCTAATTCCTCTTCCACACTTCTACAAAAGACTTGCTAAATAGTTACAACCTGAAATCCCAGAAGAAATATAATTTGGGGTGAGGAGCTTCCTTTCATCTGCTAAAGGCTGCACAACTTACAGCACATCACCCACAAGCCTGCTCCCATCACTTTGCATGACTAGATAGGTATCTTTAAATAAGGCATCCATCCACCAACTGCTTAGATAAGAGATTCACTGGAGGCCCATTCCAAAAGGGAATGGATGCAAAGCAGGCAACAAACGGCTATCACAGCCCTGAGGATGCTCCAATTATTTACTTAAATTTAATACTATAGGCTCAAATTCTGAAGGAAACTGGCAAGAGGGTAAAAAAAGGCTTTGCAAAGAGAGGGAAGGGAGGTCTGGCGTGGCTCACACATAGACGGCATTTCTTTGGCTGTCAGTAAGATTCAGAGTGAGAACTGGACATTTTATACAGATGTCATTAACATCCAAAACAATCATGCTGTCTTTCCTGGAAGTTAAGTCTCTTGCTTGAGGCTTTAAATGTCTTACTCTCAGCAGCTGATGTGTTTCCTTCCCTAACATACCTGAGACTGATAACTGTCAAGGTAAGACCTTCAGGTGGGATATTTTATTCCTATATTTCTTTATGTTGCTCTCCCTAAAGATCTCCCTCTCCCCATGCTCTTCTCAGCACAGCTGTTATTTTGATATTTAGAGAACAAAGGAAAGTTGATCAAGGAGATGTTGGCACACCAATAACTGGGCAATAGGCAATATCTGTACAGTACTTATGAATGAGCAAAGCAGAACTCAAAAAGAATTGAGCATGTCTCCACAGACTTCTCAGCCATTCAGACCTGCCTTCCCCTGAGGAACATAACTAAGGAAAGTTGGAGCTGCCTTATAGCTGAAGCTGAAGTGAGAGGGGGACCCACCAAGTACAGAAGGAGCAATGGTTCTCATGTCGGGACAGAAGGCATTTGGCAGAGCAGGATCCCAGGGTGTATATCACCGTGACATGAGTGATAGCATATTTTCATTATTACAGGATTAAAATTAAAAGGAAAAAAAAAACCAAACCGAACACCCAAATCTCAATAGGAACAGTAATGATTTGGCATGAATTAATTTTGCAGATTACCTGTATTTTTTCCCCCACAAAACAGTTTAAATTCTCTGTAGCAGCTCCATTAAATGTGTGCATATGTATAAATATATATTAATTTTTGAAGTCTATCTTTCCTCCTTTTTTTGTTTTATTTTCATGATGCAGGAGAACTGTATCTGGTACCGACAAAACTCTTGGCATTCTACTGAAATGTAAAGTTCCCCAGACTTGCATATTCTGCTGATAAGCAGCCCACAAATTGCAACAAAAGCAGTGATCTGAACTTTGCATTCTATTTGTCTCACAGATTACATCAATGAAGTCAAAGTTATCTACCCCAACTCATACAGCATTATCTCTTAACTTAATGGAAGTGAAAAAGAAGCCTATGCTCTTTACCCAAAGGATGCAGTTATTACTTCCTCTCTATACTGTTGCTAGTCAAGAATAAAAATCCAGGATATGACCTTTTCATTAAGCGTCAAGCCAAAAATCCACCTGGGACAGTCTAAGGAGGCTACCCTCATTCTTTCACTCAGTAATTCAGAGCAAAGGCCCTTGCTGCATACAGCTGAAAGGAATCCTTGTGAAAGTTTAGTTTAAGGGAGCATCTAATAAATTTTGATCAACAGATGAAGCCCAAAGAGCTTTTTGCCTCCTCCTGCATGATCCCATCACAAAAAAACACCACTAATTCAACAGATCAGCCCTTTCCCAAATATCCTGCTCCATCTGAATACAGTGTAAGGCCACAAAAAATATTATAAACTCAGAATGTGAGTGATACCATGTATTAATGCCACAAATTCTTTAATATAAACCCAAATTCCAAGAGAAGAATGCATAATAGTGTTGAATTCCTTATATTTTTTGCTTTGTTATGGCAATAATAACGTGCCTTTTGAAGTTCAGACAGGGAGATACAATGCCAAAAGGCAAATACTTACAATACAAGAGCACTTGGTACATTTATTTCCTTCGGGCCTAAATTCTTCTCCTTCATTGTAAAGTCTTCCTTCAAATACACAACCTGGAAAACAGCATTTGAATAAGTTTAGCTCAAGGTAGCATTCTGCCTTTTCTCTATAACACACCCCATTGCAGGGCAATATGAAAAGTAAATCAAACCATCCTCTCTAAAACAATATCATAGAATCACAGAATCATTTAGGTTGGAAAAGACCTCCAAGATCATCTAGTCCAAACTTTGTCTGGTCACTACCTTTTCAACTAGACCATGGAACTAAGTGCCATATCCAGTCATTTCTTGAACACCTCCACAGATGGTGACTCCACTACCTTCCTGGGAAGTCCACTCCAATGTTTAACAACCCCTTCCATGAAGGGAAAGGATATCCTGATGTCTAGCCTGAATCCCTCCTGGTGCAGCTTGAGGCTATATCCTCTTGTCCTGTTGCTAGTTTCCTGGGAGAAGAAACCAACCCTCACCTTGTTACAACCTTTCAGGTAGTTGTAGAGAGTGAATCACTTCAGAAGAATACAAATCACTTCAGAAGCCTTAACAAATCCTTAAAAATCCCTAAATGTCTTTTTTTGGGGGAAAGAAAGAAATTGTTCTATAACAGACAAATTTGTACCAATGAAGTAGAGGCTAGGTCAAGTCTTCCATTAGAAGTGGCTTTAAAACATTTTTTTAAGCTGTTTGTTTTTTACTAACTTCTTCTTACTCCCTGAGTTTATATTAGACGTTGGAACGTATCATAACTAAACTAAATATAATAAATCCATTAGATCACAACTAGAGCAGTGCTTGCCTACAAAACTTCTGTTAAAATCAAATTAGCCTCAAAAAAACACAGTAATTTGCCTCTTCTGTGCTTCCCAAAGGCAACCCATTCCCACTCCCCTTCAAAAAGTGAATCTCCTTTTTTTTAGGACTACTCTTATACTTTCCCTGTAATAAAATCGTGGTCATCAGCCTGGCAAACCCAGCTGACAGACACTCTGAAAAATGACATAAATACATCTGTGGATATTGCCACAGGCTATTGCCTATGCATCCCCTAGTTTGCATGTCCTCTGCTAAAAAGTATTAGGCGGGCTCTTCTTGTGTCATTTTGTGCATTGTGAGTCACGGGCCCACATTTTAGTAACTTGTCAGGTGTAACAGAGAGGTTAGAGGCAGCCTCCCAGTTAATAATAGGTAACATTAGAAATACAGTTGCACATGTAGAACAGCATCTTCCCATGAAATCTCACCTGGACACACAGGACAACACATTCCCCTGAGTTTGGAAGGGTTTTTGCAGTGAACAACACACTGTACTTCCGACTCCACTATCACTCCTTCCTGAAAAAGACGCAGAGCAGACATGTTCATTGTTAGCATTGTGGTTGCTGCAACAAGCAAAAAAAAATCACATTTACTAGCAGTACAGCTAAAGCCCAGCACATGCTGCAAAGCACTGGATTCCAAAAGCTCTTTTTCTCTATACCTGCTGCCTGGTATCATGATTCAGGTTAATCTACACAGTCAAAAGACCCACTTGAGTCTTCCTGACTCCAGACAGAGGATTTGCCTTAAAATGCATCAGGTAAGAAATCTAGCATCCTCTTAAGAAAAGGAATCCTGCTTTATCAGGAATCCTTCACCTCAGTAATCTGCCATGCAGCTCTGCTGAAAACAGACCAGACACAAGGCATTCTCCTCCCTCTCCCATTGGACGAAAATAGGCTTAAAAAGTAGATAAAAGAATCTTGTTCTGTAGAGGGGAGACACTTATCTTTGATGTTTTTGCCTGATAAGTATTAGTAAATTAACATTTCCTGTACTTATTCAAGAAGGCAAGAGTCGTCCTGAACAAATCTGGGTGTGAGGTTCTGTGCACAAAAGGCTGTTACCTTTTTTTTTTCCTGTTTGCAGCTTTGCTGTTGGAAGCAAGGGAAAACTTTTTCAAATGTGTGGATCTAGGGTAAACAGGACCACCCAGTTTTGCATTTAGACACTGAAACAGGCAATAAAGAACTGATACTTTCATGCAGTACAGTGAGTATCTTTTCATGAAGGGCAAGGATACACAATACTGCTGCTCCAAATTCAGTCTTGTCGGTGTACTCATCTTTAAAAAATGCAGGTGGGTTTCACAAAGCAGAAGTATCACAGAAGAAGAGAAAACTATGAAACTCTCTTCTGTTAGTAGAAGCTCTTCATACTCAGTCCTCTCTCCTCCTTGTAACTGCTACTCTTAGTAGCTGCCTGAGTGTTATTATTAAAACCAGATCAAACTGTCATTAAAATGGCAGACCTATTCACAGACAGAAACTAAAATTGCCTACATAATTACTTGGTTTGAAGCTGAAAATCAATAATCTTGAAAATGTTATGGTTGCAGATGGGCAAGCTACCAAAAATACCATCGTGTTAACAGTGCAGGAGCCCAGGAAAAGAAGATTTGGTTGTGGGTTTCTCTTAAAAAACATCCCAGATAAAACCCATGGACACATACACAGAGAAGTGTCCAATTACTAAAATAATTTGTATCTCATATAAGGCTTAGCATACTAAAAAAAAAAAAAAAAAAAAAAAAGACTTATTTCAAGGTCAAGACAGCAGGAAATGGCATGGCTGTGTACCTCTCCAGTAATGTTTTGGCATGAGGGTACTCAAGTCATTTAAAACCTATCTTTCTGAATGTTTGGTTATAGCTGGCCACATCTGAGTGGATTTAAATTAGTTTAAATGCAAAGTCCATACTGTGCTTTGGGTATAAAATGTTTCAGATTATTTGGACTGGATAAAGGAAGGCTCAGAATTTCCTGAGGAAAGCTTACAACTCAATTAGCACAATGTTTATGACATCCTTACCTGGCACTGGTATGTAACACAGGGATTGCTAGGGAGGTGCCATTTCATAGAGCTGTTGTACGTATGTCCTTCAAAACTGCAATCTAGAGGATGAGACAGAAGCACATCAGTTCAGTTGAACACAATCTTGTGGGAGGCTGCTGATGAGGATCACAGAGCAGCATCCTAAACGTAACCCACCCTCTCCCCTGGGTTAACAGAAGAGGTAGAGCTGAGAGCTGGGACTAACAAGAAGGATCATGTCCTGGGAGAGCAGCAGCAGCACTTCCTTGGATTTCTGATGCTGGCACATGACTGTCCAAATTCCTTACTAACTCTGACTGTTCAAGACAAACCAAAATCAGTGACAATTTACTTAAAAATGGATGTCAGTGATTATTTTGCAGTCCATTCTTGAACTACGCAGTCACTCATGCACTTGAACGGGGAGAGGGAGGAGAGAGGGTAAAAGAAGAGCTGGAAAGAGCATTCATTATGCAGCTTGCCATGCTATCTTCATCCATTAACCAAAGCCCTTGTGAGAGCTCTTCAGCAAGCGCAGCTCAGCATGGATGATCTGACACTGGCAGAGCTACTTCTCTTTTATGCCTTTTCACTTTCATGACAGAAGGGATCACCATCCATATAAAATAAAAGCAGTGGAGGCATTCTGGAGTCCCATAGGGCTTGGCTTTATATGTCTTTGTGTGCTATATGACAACTTTGTTAACAGAAAACAGGTTCCTTGGCCCCTGCACTGGATCAGCCCACATTTTTTTGTGCAAAATTAAGTAGAGCCATTTGGAAAACAAACAAACAAATGCCAAAACAAACATTAATTTTCACATTTTTATTACATGTTTCTTCTAGTTTCCCTTCCCACTCTTTCACTGTTTTCTGGTATTTTGCAAAAGAGAAAACCAAAAAGAACAAAAAGAAAATAACAAATAATTCACCAGAGAAGCAAAATTAGAAAATACTTATAAAGTAGAAATAAAATATTTGGTAATATTTAGCTTATTGAAGCAAAATTGTTTCAATTGGAAAAATTCTTTGGAGACCAAGAGTGTTTCTGAGAAAAATTTCAGAAGCAACACATACCCCATTTTCTGTGGGAAAAATGCCCATTTTCCATTTAGGTTTGGGGTTTTTTTTCCATTTTAGTTTTTTTTCTTAGTGTATTTTATTCAAAATTATCTCGATCAAAGAGCCCATGAAACCAACAGGATTCTTGCCAAAGATTTTGTGTGAAACACACACATGTACAGAGAGTCACAGAATCACAAAACTACACTCAGTCAAACGATGCCCATGGCATCATCCTCTCCCCACGCCCTACCTTAGCAACTACTCTAAATAATTATCTGCTCTGTTGGTGTGTTGTCCTGCTTTGGGCTACAGTTTACGTCTTTCTGAAAATAAAGGCAATTTATCAGCCCTACACCAGTAAATTTTTCAGGCCACTGTATAAGAAAACTTAGAGGTCACAGCTCTGAAGTGTGGAGGAACTTATAATCCCTATAAAATCATTCTGAATTCAACACAAAATTTAAAGGAAACACAACATATAAAGACCATTTGCAAATGCATTCACTGCCTCTAGTTAAGATCTTATACAACGGAAGAGTTGTACGTCAGGATTTGCAGTATTAAGAAAAATTTTTTCCAGGCTAAATACAGAGCAAGACAGGAGAAATTTGTAGATGCTGAGGCTATTTCCCTTACCCAAGCTGAGAGACGTATGTTTTAAAAAGAGTTGATCGGTAGTCTGAGAGTTGGCTGTGATTTCATCATTGACAAATACTAGAAGGTACAGAGTATACATATGAATCTTGTATTTTTTAAGTAGCAAAGCCCCTGTGACGTGATTTGGAATAATAAAGAAATGTTCAGATTCTCAGTGTATTAAATACAGTTCTCTGAGCTCTCATACATGCAGGCCAACATGCCAAGAGAGGAGCGTGAAGCCCTATACTCCTCTTGCACATTTTGAAGTCTCGTTCTGAGAAACACTGAGTTAATCTAAGAGCACTTACTGCTCACTACAAACACCGATGAATGCAGAGCCTGTTCAATGTGTTTGAACACCCTCAAGTTGCAGAAGCCCAGGTCGTACTGGTCCCAGTCCAAGAAACAGTTTACAAGTGTGCAGGACACTCAAGATGGAACAAGCTGTGTTGTTAAATATCTGTGTGCATGTTTTACCAGAACCAAGATCAAGGGCCAGGCTGGAAACTAACAACTGCAAAATACCTTGCATATTTGCTCGGCAATTATGTCTTTTAATTTAAAATGTTTCCTTTATAAGAAAGCTAATGACCCTGGGCTAATCTGCATGTACAGATATGCATATTAGACCGAGATTTTCAGTTCAAGGATTAGTTTGGTCAGCAAAGCATGAAGGTGGTGTGTTCATACAGTCAGCACTGCTCTTGCCTGAAGTGCATATCCAACCTATGCTATAAAATCCCCTGCTCTGCAACACCAGCTATTTGTCCCTGTGGAAAACAGAAAAGGGGTGGCACACCACATGTAACCACGGCAGGGAGAGCTTGCAGGCAGCAAAAGGGAAATTCAGAAATGAAGACCAGGATGGAAAAGTCTGCAGAAGCATTGGAGATACTAAGATTGCTCTTGAGCTTTGGCATGTGCCAGCAGGTTGAATAAGGGAGACAGAGCAGCCCCCGTCCAACGCCAGTGTGAGGCACGGTGGATGCTGGATTTCAGCAGATGCTCAGTTGAGGAAAACAGCATGATGGAAGGGGAGAGTTTGCCAGTAACACAAACAGTCTTGGTGAGAGATGGGGGAAGGCTGAATGTCAAGCAAAACTGAAAAGAGTAAGAAAGGAGTGCTTTACAATCTCCAGGTGACACTTTAACCTGTCTCTGACCAGAGGTGTGCCCTGACACTCTGCCCTTTGGATGCCCTGGAGCTACACCCCCGCTCACTCTTCAAAAGGAAAAAGAAACAAAGCCCACATACCAGCTAGTTTTTCTGAACCTCACTTTCAATGTACAAATCTCTCAGCTGACACCTGCAAACATACAGCTGGACTTTCCCAGTCCCACTACTCACAGCATGGAAATTTCTGAGTCTCACTTAAATTCAGCTGAGTGAAACCTGCCTCGTTCTATGTGCCAGCTCAGTCAAGCCATTCCAGCTCATCCATGGTTAAAGGTCCAACATCTTTGGCTTGGAAAGTAGCAGTCACTGAGTTTTCAGGTTCAAAGGCATTCAGCAAAGTCCCTGATGTTAATTTCCACAACAGAATATGATGGAGCTTACTTCAGGTTCCTAAAAGACATTTTAAAGTGCTTTTTTCTCCTAAAAGCCCCTTGGAAATATTAGTACATTAACTTACTGTCTCCATCCACCATTTGAAAGTGCGAGTAGGAGAAAAGAATAAAATAAAAAAGATCAGAGCTTAGGACAATCACTAAAACACCATCCCCTTATTTCTTCCTGAATACCTAATTAAAACAAAACTTTTTTAAAAAAAGGCTACAGAAGAGGTCTTCAAAAGGGGAACCCAAAAAGCCTAGGAATGCTCAACAGAGTATGTGAAAAGTGACAGATCTGACAATAATAAGAAAATTTGATCCTGAGTCACATACCCCATAAGGAAAACCTTTAGGATTCCACATTTGGATGGAAGTTAAATATCAGTGGTCTACATCTATTTTAAAAGAGCTAAGGCGATGCATATCAGTCAAGGAGTGTGTCCTGATCTTTTAGTCTTTCCTGCTTCTTTCTTTAAGAATAGTTGGTGTTTTATTAATGTAAAATATTAACTTTCAGCTCGTTGTAGGTTTTGTTACCATTACCTCCTTCAATCCAAATATTTCAGATAAGTCCTGGATAAACATGCAAGCCTAAAGTTGCTTATCTGAATCAAACCAAACCACTGAATACTTTGAAGTTTGCATATTCAGTGGAAACTAATGTTAATTACCTTCTAGTCACCTCATAAAGGCAAAATGTTCCACTAGACTTTAGTCCTTCCAGTATGAAAAAAAATTATGCTAACATAGTTAAATAACTTCTAACTTGCTTATTTAGCAACTTTGTTTCAATGTTGTGCATGCCATACTTGGGCACTGTAGTTTCAAACATAATAAACCAATCTTTGGCCAATTTAATTCAAAAGAACAATTTAATTCCAAAACAAAAATTCCTCACACAAAATTGGACTGGAATAACAAAAGAGGCCAATTATAGCAGATTTTGTTATTGGCATGTAGACAAGTTGATGACCAGGAAGCCATTTGTCTTTCCAAATCCTGCAACTCTGATAAATGACCCTTTTTTCTTCTTCCCCAGACAGCCCAGCACAGAGCAGTATCATGAAAATAGGGAAATTGACTGTAAGAGACAGTTTAGTAGTGCTAAAGCTCAACCAGTGTCCTCAGCAGTTCATTAAAAACAACGCTTTATTACTCAATTTGACATTGCCTAATAAGATTCCAGAAGAGATCTGTGCTTATTTTAGGCTAATGAGAATTTTATAGACAAGTCATTTCCTTATTCTCCCAAGAGAAAGTGATAGATTGGTGCACAATAGACTGGCTCCCCATCCCTCATTTTTTCAGCATCTTTCTTCTCCTATTAAGTCTTTTTTTTGCTTTCCCTCCACTTTCTATTTAAAAAAGTAACCTCTCTATTGGCATGGAAAATAAACATTAGGAAAAAGAAAACAGTCAGAAGACATGTTTTATTTAGTGTTTGATAAATTATTCCTCAGGGAAGTATCCAGACATGCTAACACTAAATACCAGTTCTAGCCAAACAAAAAAACAACTAAAAACCCCAAAGAAAGCAAACAAACAAAAAAAATAACTTGCACATTCTGCAGTGTTTCCCTGGTATGAAATCTGTCGGCCACAATAAAAGAGCTGTGAATCACACATACACCTATTATAAAATGTATTTTCATATTTCTTAGTGATGGTAAAGCCATTGACAGCTACCAGAAAATTAAACTTCCTGTTGAGTAGCCCTGGTCTTCATTTGTCAACACAGAAGCATGAAAATGTATACAAAACCTCCCCTGCTTATCAAGACCAGCTCTAAACAGTGAAAATCCAGCTCTTTCCTCTGTGACTG